TATTTGTTGACAACACAAATACTCTACTTGTGAAGCTCTAAGAGAAAATTACTTCAATTTAATCTTGTCAATGGAGGTCAATCTTTGATGTAACCTTAACTAGGTGAGTTCTGAGTGCGCACAATATAATGTGCCAAAAAATTATCAGTCTAATAAATAACAAAATAATTATCCAGGTTGGGAGCATAGCCAGGATCTACCGTGACTTGGCCAACGCGTGAGTTTATACTAACCTTATAGACTTGCATGGTGAGCAATGAACTGGAGAAAAAGTATTCAAAGGAAATCTCATTCATGTAATCCATTACATGCATCTCAAGACCTAAACATGAACTTTTATACTTTTGTGCATTTAAATTTGCTCAAGTAAACACATTGGGCTTTTTGTTTGTACATTCCTTAACAGCATCTGCATCTTTCTGAATGTTTGATCAACCATTTTGAAAGTCCCCATTGTATTGTAACGAAGACAACTTAGAGCAAGGCTATAAAAATTGGGGACAAATAGGAATCTCAGCTTTCACACAATACAAATATTTTACCCTTGTGAAGAAAGCCTTCCTGATGCAAGCCAATAGAAACTGATCAGTAGTACTTAACAGAACAAGCACTGCACCATTCTGCATCAGCACAGAGCCGACCATCTCTGAGGCATCTCAAAGAATCATATTGCTAGTAGTCTGCAGAACCTTGGGCAGCTCTATCATACTGGTGTAGTCATAGTAGAAAGAGACTTATGGGGCTGTTAGGAGATTGATCAGAAAATGTTCATTCAGGCTGACTAGCAAAGGCAAGCTCTGTTTTAAAACACCGTAAGATAGCCTCAGCCAGAATACAAAAGTGTGTGCTCTGTGATCCCTTAGGATGACTGCCACAGATATATGTTACTGATGCTAAAATTAATTCATTCAAAAGGTGTCATAGAAAAATGCTGGGGAAGTGCAAGGTTGGTGGCATGCAATGAGAACCACAGGGGTAGGTTGCAGGGGAGAACTGATCTGCAAGGCAAGAAGGAAACTTCAAAGCTATCTCTTCCAGTTTAGCCACTTATTTTGGCTTAATGTCTCAACTAAACAAGCACCTTGTTTTGTCTCAGCAAAGTTTTCATTGTAATCATCAGTAATTTAGATATAATACTGAAAAGAATTGCGCATGTCTTGCATAGTTGCAGTATTGTACAAAGTGTGGTAGATGAGTGATGTTCTCTATATCCATTTACATTTATCTTATTGTAAACAGATATTTTGTGATGCTTAAATTATTTATCAAATATTTGCTAACATTGTAAACAGCATATTTATTTAAATATAAATATTTGCTGTTTAATTTAAAAGATACATTCTAATGCAAATTGCCTTTGCAACTTAGGGAGTACTTGGCACATAAGAGTAATGGTATGAAACAATGCAAGCTACAATATTAGTTTGATTTTTTTT